GACACAAGGAAAGTATTAGCCCAAGAGACAGAATGGGTCACATAAACCAGAGACTTCATCAGCCTGAGACCAGAAGAACTAGATGGTGCCCGGCTACCACCAGTGAACGTCCTGTCCTGACAGGGAACACAACAGAGGGTCCCTGATGGAGCAGTAGAAGGATGGGGTGCAGAACTCAAATTGTAGTAAAAAGACCAGACTTAATAGTCTGACTGAGACTGGAGGTACCCTGGAAAGCATGGCCCCTGGAGTCTCTATCAGCCCAGAACTAAAACAATTTCTGAGGCCAACTCTTCAGACAGGGATTGGACTGGACTGTGGGGCATAAAGTGATACTCTTGAAAAGTTTGCCTCTTAGTCAAGCAGATACAAGAGACCAAAGGGGCAGCTTCTGTCCAGAGGTGAGATGGGAAGGCAGAGAGAGTTAGGAGCTGGTTGAATGGTCATAGGGAATCAGGGGCGGAAAGGAGGAGTGTACTGTCACAGAATGGGGTGAGCAATTAGGGTCTCATAACAATGTATGTATAAAAATTTTGTATGGGAGACTAACTTGAAATGTAAACTTCATTTAATTACAACAATAAAAAAAAAAAAGCCAAACTAAGATGGAACAGACACTTCAAATCAAAACAAGTGAAAATGCAGTTGCCTGAATATTTTCAAAATATATGTAGGTAAGCTTATCAGATGAAAGATAATTTTTTTCAGTTTTTATTAAGATATTTGGAATAACACAGATTCAGGCATATAGTAAGGCTATGTAAAACAGGCAAGAAATTCCAAGGAGCTGCTCATTGGCTCTCCTGGATCAGAACCAATTAGAGAAAGCTTACAGAAGCTGACATGCCTTTGAGACAAAATGAACTTCAACATGGCTTTATAATTTCAAGGCTGTCACAGAGCAACAAATGAGAAATAACGTAAGACAGCTCGTGATGCTCTTGGATACAGTTTTCCCTACTGAGATAGTGTCAAATCAAACAGACTTGAATGGGACTTTCATTCTAAAGCCTTTAAAATAACAACTGATAGAATCCAAGAGACCTTGGGGGAAAGAAAAAAAACAATGATCAAGTCTCTACAGTAAGAAAATACTTATGTGGGTGGCCTTAAAGCCTTGGAAAGATTGCTTACAGGATAATGACTGGTAAAGATTCCACTTTTTAAAATTAACTACCTAGTGTATTTCATGAAAGTAAATGCCGTATCAAATATAGGTAGAAGGAACTTTAATTTCTATTAGTAAACCTAAATGTTTGAATAAAACAACCTTTGTCAAGCTAAAATACAAAAAAAGTTACTTCACTTCAAAGTGAATTTTTCAAACTTATTGTACCCCACTGATATTATAACATCATAATAATTCATGAAAAACCAAGTTATATAAACTTGATAGTATATAAAAAGATAGTCTATTAAAATGTACTATAGTGCTACATTGGGAAAGTATTTGAAAGAATTTCTCAAGCTGTAATTACTATTAACTTTAACTATTAATTATTAATTCTCTAGCTCATATATTCCTTTACCTAAAGGAAAATAAAAATTGTTAAATGCAGGAATCTGAAGGTGATAAAAGATTATTTTTTAAATAGTAATAATTTTTCTGATAATCTAGAAGTTGGACATAACTACTATTATAACGTGGGCACGTTTATGCCTGTAGAGAACCCGCAGTGGAGTCCAAGAGTCACTACATCACTAGAGATAAAAGGAGGGAGGACAGAAAAGGGAGAAAAAAGGAAGAAGTCCAGAAGGAGGGAGAGAGGAGAAGGAAGAAAGAAATAGCAATAATGATAATGGGTTAAAGAAATACGAAGCTAAAAGAGAACTATGTACTTGGACAACTCAAAAGTGGAAACAGAGTTGTGCTTTCTGACCAGAAAGTCATAGAATCACAGAATTGCTAAATTGGAAAAGACCTTACAGAGCACACTGTCAATCTTATTCAACCAAGTGTTGCCAAGGAATGTACTCAACATTGGAAAAATGTTAGGGAAGCCCTAAATCTATTAAATCCTTGCTTTGATCTAGAAAGTCTCAGAAAATTGAAGAAATATTAATATTATAAATCAATTTCCCTCTCAATGAGTTTGTAGAGAAATAACATGTAAACATAACCAAATAAACAAAAATTAACTTTTATACAATTTATAAATCAAATAAATGATTCACTATATATAACTTTCAGAACCCCTCAGCTACCTAGTTCAAATGAACTTCCTGCCTCATATCATTTAAAGTTATATTTTAGCTAATGTGTTTTCCTATTTATTAATTTACTATTTTAATTAAAATTTAAATGTAATTTAATTTACTATTGTTAATTTTATTGCAAACTTTTGTCTTTGCTGTGTATTCCCTTGATCCAAGTCAATTCTGAAAAATTGCTTTCAAAGAATTACATCTTTTCCTAATAGATAATATGCTGGGAAACATTTTTCTTCTTTCTTTGAAATTTTGAAATTATTAAACAACCCACCCTACTGTATATTCAAGTTCTGTGAATCAATTTAATAGCTTATAGTATTTCCAGAAAGCTTGCTTTAAAAAAAAAAATGCATGACTTAAAAATGGTTATGGATCTTAAGGACATACTTTTTATGGGGAGCAAATATAGGACATATAATTAAAAAACCAGTGGAGCTGGAGTTAGGAAAAGTAGATTATGGCTCCAAGAATACCCTCCAACTAGTTACATTATACCTTTGGAAAGCTCTTTAAATTCTTTTGGACTCAAATTTTTCTGTGAAATGAACTAACGATCTCTCCAGTCAATTCCAACTCCAGTACAAAGTCAACAAGAACGTAGAATGCAATTAGCTAGACATTCATCCTACAGACAACTTTACACCTGTTAAGGACTTTCGTTAAAATGGATCACTGATACAGAAACACTGATAGAGACAAAGGCAATCTATTTTCAAAGAAGCTATGAATCAATTCTTATGCAAAATTTGTATTTCTTGACTCATAAAAATGATACTGTCTATAATAAAAAGTAAAGCATTTTAAATAACATATGTTGAAGAATAAATGAAACTGTAATAAATTTTCACAAAACAGTTAAGAATCAAGCACTTACTTTTACTTGAAGATCCTCAGAACTTTCTGTTGACATGTACAAAGAAAGCAGAACTGGCAAAGTATTTGTGACTGCAACAGCCCGTGCGTGTTCAGGAGTGTGTCTCCCAATCTGTCCTAAGGCCCAAGCAGCAGCAGCCTTAATATGATCTTCTGGTTCTTCTGACAAGCAGACTGACAACTGGGGTACACCCTGCAGTGTTGATCAAAAAAGCAAGTGTTAGGAATCTAGAGCAGAATTAAAGAGTCTTTCCACGTCTCTCAAACATTAGAAGAAATCATTTGGTCTTGATCCTTCTTTCCTAAACAATTCAATAAATGAGCACATCACTGGGGCTGTCATTTTTCAAGTCAACAAAATGATTAGAACTAATTTACCTTAATTATCTGTAACAATCCAACTAAACGAAGAATATCTCTGCTAGCTTTTACCCCCTAAACAGAGAGGCATTTAATCAAACAACAGATGCTACAGACTAGGATATATACAAAATCAGGTTATACCATGACAAACTAAAAATATTTAAGATTTTAAAACTTTCTATTTTCCTTGATAAAAAAGTTAATTTAGAATCCTTAAAGAAATTGTCTTTTTTCACCAAGTTTAATAAATCTGAGACAAATAACTAGCATACCTGCAAAATCAAATGAATAATATGAGTTAGAATACTGTTTAGGTATCTTTTAGATGAAATATTTTCACTAATACCTTTCCTGAAATAGTAAGTGAAAATTTTCTATTAATTTTGGTCAACTTTTATAGTTTTGCCCATTTTTACCATGTTTGAATGTCAAAGTAGAAATTATTATTTTAGTTACACAGCATGTGCTTACATTTTATACTTCACTCTTCAATTTTATCTAAATAATCAAAACAGAAAACTAAAGGGCCTCAAATAAATCAGTTTATATTCCCAAGGAAGAATCAACCAAATCAAATTATAATTCCAATTTCTGTATAGGCACAATTTTCTAACTAATTTGATACTATAATAATTATCATCTTAAATTTAGTACCATAAAAATTAATATCACATGGTCATGCTATCCTAGCAAAGGCCAAATCATTATATATACTATTTTTTTCTCCACTTTTTAATTTGGTCATTAAGATCAATTTCCTGAAGAGACCTGCCATATTTCTTCCTGGATTCTTTCCTACAACTAAAAATGTCTGTCTGCCAATACAAAAGGTCAGACCTGTCTTCAGAATAAAGCAACTTTCCAGAAAGTCCATTCTTCAGGGATGTTGAGATTGAAGAAGCAGGAAGAAAAGGAGACAGTACCCTCCCCTCAAGCCCTGATTTACCAGCCTCAGTTGTTGTGAATAGCAAACGAGATAAGGAGTATGAATATGCTTTCAAAATTATAAAGTATTATTTAAATGTAAGGTGTTATTATTAGTCCTTATAGTAATATTTAGGAGAAGGAGAGAATGATACAGTACTGGGTGGTTTCCCTGTAACTGCTGCTGCCACCTTGATCTTCAACTAACTGCAAAACAAACTAGGTGGGAGAGGCCAGCAGTGACCCTAGACCAAAGAAAGAGGGTCTCCTGGTTAGTTTGAGAAAGGGATGTTGGAGGCAAAAGCAATTTCTTCTTTTTTCATCATTTTTCCTATGTGTGAGCTTTCTGACTAGCCACAAAAGAACCAAGAAACAAAAATCCCTGTAATGCCACTACAATGACAGTGACCCTTCAGAAGGCACTACTACTGCTCTAGTCACCGCGATAGTCTTTGGTAATAGAACAAAAGGAAATCGAAGAATAAAAGGGGAGGGAAGCAAGGAATTGCCATGGAATAGGTAGAAAATAAAGATCTGAGGCTCCTTTTTATTCTAGAGAGTAGCAAGGGATCAAAAAATTCCACATTTCTGTTTAGCATACAGCAGCAGGTTTTCTATGTTGATAAGAACCCACACCCTAGGGGGTCACCATAGACACACTTTAAGCACACAGCCTTTGAAGCATTCTTCTGGAGATCAATATTCATTCAACAAATACTTTTTGAGCACCTACTATGTGCCAGGGCTACATTCTATGGTAGGTTAATAACAAAGCTGTGAATTGAGGTAGGGCAACAATCCCTAGAGCAAGGAAACAAAAACACTGCTGTCTGACTTGTGCTCTGAACTGTCTGCTTCTAAGAAAAAAATATTAGGAGCCCTGGTGGTGCGATGATTACGAGCTACCGCTGCTAACCAAAAGGTCAGCAGTTCAAATCTACCAGCCACTCCTTGGAAACACTAAGGGGTAGTTCTGCTTTGTCCTATAGGGTCACTATGAGTCAGAATCGACTCCACAGTAATTTTTTTTTTTAAGAAAATACATTAGTTCATGAAAGCAGGAGGGAAAAGTAGATGAAAAAGTATGTCCTCGCCAGTGTCATCTCCTACCCAAATGACAGGAAAGGAAGGATTTTTAGACTGGGAGAACAAAACATTTATAAGTTGTTTATAACCAAGTATGCATTGTATATTTGTAAATATGCATAGTCAAACCTTAAACATACAAATGCACTTAATATTTAAATACAGATGATGCTAATACTCAAAACAGTTGATATTTTATTGATATTAAACACTGAATAAAACTGTAAACTTCCTATACAGTAAACCTTACTTCAGGCATTGCTTTAGGAAACTTACTAATAAGCATTGGAAAAAAGCTGAAAATCTTTTCAGGTAATTCTTTCACTTCAGTCAATTATATTTTATATTCTGTAGGAGAGTATTAATTAGAATTAATTAGACTATTAATTAGAATATCTCACTGCAATACTAAAAAAAATAAAAAGAAGAAGGAAGAACAAACCTTGGAAATGATCACTGCCATTGCCAGGTTCTCAGAGTGGGCCGCTACATAACCCAGCATCATGATGCCAGGCAGCCTTATGTTTCCTCTGCAGGAGCCAATACAATCAATCACAGCGGCAACTCCTCCTGCATTAACTATCAGCTGCGAAAGCTAAGAGAAAAGGAGTAGATCTAGATAATCGTGACCATAAAGCATAAGATGATCTGTATATATTATTTAGTATTCACAAACTTTTATTTAGAACCTAAAAATACCTAGCAAAATTTGAAAGATCATTTAGTGAAAATTACTATGTTCACTAAAGAAATATACAAGTATAATAATCTCACTATTTCAAATGTACAAATATACTCACTGTGAGGCACTTTGTGGTTCAATTTTTCATGCAGCGACGGCACAACTTTTATCCCTATTATAATGGATGTCAAAATCCCTCACCTAGACACTGAGCCTAGGGCTAGTTCATAACTAGCCAACTACTGAAACCCCCAATCATAATGCGTGAGTATGAAGCAGATTAATCACTGAATACCAAAAGACAATGTCACACTTAAAATATTCTCATCTAATTATCCTCCCTTTCCTAGTAATGATTACTAGCTGGTTGCTCTTCAACCTTGAAAAATCTCAACCAAGGAAAAATGTTAGGTGAAATAAAGAATGAAGAGTTTAAAGTTTAACGAAATGAAAACTGATTAGTCAAAAAATACACAGAAAAAGATACTACTTCAGAATCAATACAGGCCTGCTTTGTCTACTTCCTTCACATCTAAGAATTCAGAGCAGGAAAGAACCATGTAAGAGCAGCTGTCGAGGTGGTTGCACCAGGCTAGGGGACCTTTGTGGTCTCTCCCAATCTGGAGGTGTAATACCGTTCTCACTACTACTAGCTGACATAAAATGATAAGGATGGCAAAGGTCCACAGCATCCATACTCTGGAAATGGAAAGCTGAAAATGATTAAAAACTGAGATTTCAGACTCAAACTCCATTGATCTAAGCCAGTGGTTCTCAACTGGGAGCAGTTTTGCCACTCAGGGAACATTTGGCAATGTATGGAGACATTTTGGATTGTCATAATTGGGGGATGCTACTGGCATCTAGTGATTAGAGGCCAGGGATGCTGCTAAACATCTTACAATGCAACATGACAGTCCCCACAGAAGAACTGCCAGTCTAAAATGTCAACAGTTCTGAGGAGAAACCCTGATCTTACCAGATCATGTGGCACAATCTTTGGGCCTTGTAAACAAATTGATGTTTTATTTTAAAACTAAAATTAACTACAAATTATCGTATTTTGAAGCTTTTTTTTTTTAATACCTCGGGTGTATGTTTTGCAATCTCTCTAATTAAAGTAGAAGCATTTTTCTTCACATATTCATCTTTGTCCTTCAGACAGGTAAGTACAACTGGAAAAATCTCTGCTTCAACCACCATTTCTGCCAGATCCACAGAATGTTTTGCTATCTGACTGAGAGCTGAAAGGACCTGACGCTGTTAAGCAAAAAAAAAAAAAAAAAAAATTACATAGGGTCCACAAAGAGTTCAGATGCAATTTAAACAGCTTTATATTAAATTCCTTTATAAAAAGAAAAAACAATTACATATCTAATATAACCTATGATTTCTGAGTCTTGAGATATTCACATTCAAGTCTTAAACACTCATTTTTTTAATTCCCTAATTTTTAAAATTAAATTTCTTAGTTCTCAATTGAGTATTTAAAACTCTATGTATTGCAGATGATCAAAGAATATTACCTTTGAATGAGTATTTCTTAATTATGCAATACTTACATTGTTAATTTATAACACATGGTAATTTTGTACAAAAACCGATCAAGCAGAACTAACATATATTTTTGAGATGATGCTAATACCATTTCAAAGAATTTTCCATTGCTTAGGTAATGTTAATAATTTTAAAAGTACATAGAATATAATTATTAGAAAATAAAAGTATTCTTGGGACTACTAAGTGAAAATCAGATTTCAAAAAGGTATAAAAAAAACTAATACAGCAATTTTTTTAAGAAAATTAAATGTTACAGTGGTGGTACTAGAAAACCTTTAGGTTCCTTCCAACTCTAAGGTTCTATGAGTATGTGAGTCCTCGTTTTAATTATTAATGTTAACACTGGTGTTACTTCTAGTTTTCAACATTGCACATGTTTTTCCCAATCGCATCTTTATTATCTACTTCTTACAGCAATTATTTTCACATATTAGAAGACCAAATACATAATCTATTCATATCTGTGTTCAATGATTACTTATTATTTTTAAATATATAATATTAATCTGTACACATTCCATTTTCTTCGGTTACTATGTAGCCTGGAATGACTGTTTTTTAACCTTATTTTTAAATACCTTCAATTTAGCATCAGGATTCAGGATCATCTGGGCTAAGTGGGCAATAGCTCCTGCATCCACTACTGTCTGTGCTAACTCTGGAGAATGCTTTGAAATATCACTGAGGGCCGAAGCAGCAATCCTTTTCAAAGCAATTTCTGGCTCCTGGATACAGAGTACTAAAAGAGGAACCGCTCCTGCATCCACCACAGCTTGTGACAGTTCTGTGGGTCCAAGAAAAGTAATTAAGTGAGTATGGGTGACTGACCCTTGTGCAAGCCATTTTTCACCCTGACAGATACAGCAAAGAAAAAAGGGTAGGGTATACTTCACTGTCTCGACATCTGCATTTCAAATCAGCCTTCCTGGTTTCATAAACCATGTGGACCAATCCTGAGCTGAAAAGAATACAGGTCAATAGATGGACCTCCATTTACATGAACACATTTGAGGTAGATTAGGCTGAAATGGCTTGTTATTCTTTTTTTTTTTTTTTTTTAAGAGAGTAAGCAGATGTCAGCTGTTTAAGCTCTGACAATTCTGCACTTCTCAATAGGCAAGCATTTTATGCATGGTTTACAATAACAGTGAAAATTAAAGTACCCAAAATTTACCAACCACACCAATTAGACAGTATTTTGTTCTGTTTACGTGAGTAAACATTAACATAAATCTTGTGCTAATAATGTCGATTTTTAAATTCCTTTCATTTTATCCAAACCTTAAATAAAATATAAATGTGCATTTTCACTGTACATCTAAAAATACTTTCAAAAGCAAGATCTACTACTGAAGAATATACTTCTATATAAATGTTAGTATTTAGATAAAGGAATAAATTTATGTCAGAAATATAGTAAATATCTTTTGAATACACGACACGTTGATTTACTCGTGTGTCCAAGAATAACAGCTATAAAAATAACACAGTTTAAATTACAGAGAATAGGAGACAGTCAGGCAGATACATATAATATATATGTTAAAAATGTCTTTTGAGAAACATAAAGCACCAGTTACCGATTCTACTCTCATTGTATTTGTGGCTTCTCTTATGAATTACATACACTTATTTCTATAATCTCTTCCTTTCGAATTATGTTCTTATTTTCCCAGATTTGCAGTGCTTTAACAATTTATAAATATGCCTTAATAGCCAAGTTATCTATTCAGCATATCACTTAAAGTCTTTAAAAGAACATGTGTTTTATATTTTCAAAAGAGTGGTAATATCACATTTTATAAAAAGAAAATGTTAGAAAATACAAGTTAGTATCCAATATGTGTCTTCCTCAAATTATTATAATTATCTTAGAAGTCTCAATACTGTATAAATGATTCATTCATTCTTTCATTAACAAGTATCAATGGAAGGTTATTATGTGCCAGGTTCATTCAACTCTGGTGCAGATGACACACTTCTACAAATTAACACCACGCTGATTAGCAAGTATCCCTTTCAATAAAAAAAATCGGTATGATATATGGGATACAATGGGAAGGTAATATGTAATCTCAAGAACTAGAAGCAGATAGAGGAAAATGGTTTAAAGAAAAAGACAAGATGGCAGCAACAGACTGGAATATCAACCTAACAATATAACAGATTCCTTAGAAGCAGTCTCTGGGATGCTTTTACAATGGCCTGAAGACCAACAAGACAGCAGGTGAAACAGGTGATCACTGTTTCTCCCACCCCCGAGGAAAACAGAAAGAAAATATGAAGTGTGATATTGTTTGTTATGTAGTTTCTAGATATAATTCTCATTTTCTGTTAATTATTAACACTTAAGAATTCAATTCAGTTCAATTCAATCCAAATTATACATGTGCTGCACGGTCAAACATTTTATCACTAACCAAACCAACTTTATATGTATATATTTAAACACACCTGGAATATATATAATGGCCTGAACACTTTGTTTCAGAGAGTATAAGGATTAGTTCATCTAGTCATGTATTTCTACTTTTATACAGTTTCTAAGAGTAGAGAGTATGTAGCAAACTACAACTGCTTAGAAGTAGTATTAATAAAAAGTTAAGGTTCTTTTGAAGAAATATCTACTGTCTAGTTTATAATTCCCACACATCCTTTCCTTGAACAATTCTCAGAGCACCGTACCTTCCTCTGTGTTAATAATATAGTCAACTCTGTTGTTCTGACTTGTTACCCAGTCCCACCCTAAACTTCTTCTGTTCTCTCTAGGTAGTGATGGTATCAGATGTGGGGGTTGGTACTTTTACAATGCAGCTAACAAAGAAAAATTTTCTGTGAAGGTAATGAAGCTTCCAAGGACCTGGATCGGGCATAGCAATTTTGTACTTGCAATTTCATATATGTTTTTTAAAGATTAACTTCAAATTTATATGGTTCTATAAAACCAGGACCTGTTCTTGGGTGACACACATTGTTACTTAGAAATAACATTGTTCTATAGCCTTCATACATATAGTAGGAATAAGACTGTGTATATAGGTAAAATATAATAGGCCTAAATAATGCACACCCAACTATATTACAGATGTTGTTGTTAGGTGCCCTGGAGTTGATTTTGACTCACCGCAACCCCATGTTACAGAGTAGAACTGCCCCTTAGGGTTTTCTAGGCTGTAATCTTTACGGGAGGGGCTCTGGTGGCGCAGTGGTTAAGCGTTAGGCTGCTAAACGAAAAGTAGACAGTTTGAAACCACCAGCCACTCCATGGAAGAAAGATGTGGCATTCTGCTTCCATAAGGATTACAGCTTTGGAAACCCTATGGGGGCAGTTCTGCTCTGTCTTATAGGGTTGCTATGAGTTGGAATCCACTCAAAGGCAATGGGTAATCTTTACAGGAGCAAATCACCGGTTCTTTCTTCCACAGAGCTACTAGGTGGATTTGAACCACCAACCTTTTGGTTCACAGATGAGCGCTTAACTATTGTGCTACCTAAAACCCAAAACCAAACCTAATGCTGTCAAGTCGATTCCGATTCACAGTGACCCTGTAGGACAGAGTAGAACCACCCATAGGGTTTCCAAGTCCATAAATCTTTACAGAAGCAGACTGCCACATCTTTCTCCCTCAGAGCAGCTGGTGGGTTCAAACCGCCACCCCTTCAGTTAGCAGCCAAGCAATTAACCACTGTGCCACCAGGGCTCCTTATATTACAGATACCTGCTGTTGTCAAGGAGATTCCAACTTATATTACAAATACTACAGGCTATTTCATTCTGTATCTATTACTACTCTTCCCTCACCTGCCATGGCATACCTTTCTCCTTTTTCCTACTGTTGCTTCTTCTGGCATTTCTGTACCAGTCACTGTTGGTGTCTACCCAATAGCCTTTGGTCTCCTACCCTAACCCTCAATTTTTTCCTTGCTGGCAGAGCCTGCATCCCACTATAGAGGCTGAAGATGCCAGATCCTCACTCTCCCAGCCTGAACCAATCCTGGTCAATAGGACCTGAGTCAAAATCAGCTGGAAGCATCTGTAAAGGTTTTCCTCTAAATAAACAGACACACACAGGAGGAAACACCACCTCTTCTTTGTTGGACATAGTCATGTCTGCAAATGACATCTGGAACTCCTACACCCATCTTGCAACTATAAGGGAAGAAATCACCAACATACTGAGGACGGCTGAGTACAAAAATGAAAAACATCTGGGTCCTCAATGACACTGTTCAGCTGCACAACCAACCTTGGAACGGCTCTGATTGAACTTTGTGTCATGTGAAATAAAAAGTGTCCTTATTGCCTAAGACACCTATCGATAGTCTGTAGCTTGCAGCCAAATACATCCTGATATAATTCTTTCCTCTCTCAGGTTTGGTTTATGTGAGTGTTCATTAAGTGTGACTATGTGCTAGAAATTTTGCTAGATCTTGGGGAAGCAGAATGAAGTAAAATACTGTTCTGTCCTAAAAGACCCTGCTCAGGGTGACACAGAACAAATCATTACAAATAGAAAGCAGAGGTAGGAGTCAAGTTAGTGGAGTGTTCAGGGAAAATGTATATAAGGGTGTTGTTTTAGAAAGTACATTCCACATTACTTCCTTCCTCGTTTTTTGTTTTTCCTATACTTTTCTACTCTGAAAAGTAGTGTCCATCAACAGATAAATGAATAAACAAAACATGGTACCTACTTACAATGGAATATTATTCAGCCATAAAGATAAATGAAGTACTGATACACACTATGACAGTATGAAAACATTATGCTGAGTGAAATAAGTCAGACATGAAAAAGATAAATATTGTATGAACCCACTTACATGAAATATCTAGAATAGGCAAATGCATAGAGACAAAAGTAGATTAGCAGTTACCAGGGGCTGGAAAGAGGAAGGAATGGGGAGTTACTGCTTAATGGGTACTGAGTTTCTGTTTAGGGTGATGAAAATGTTTTAGAAATATACAATGGTGATGACTGCACAACATTTTAAATATAATTAATTTCACTGACACCTCAAAATTGATTTTTTGAAAATACATCTATTATGCAATAACATGGGACATAAACATATACTGTTAGATAACAAGCAAGATTAAAAAATAGTTATAACTATGTTAAAAAAATGCAAAGAAAAAGGCTATACATACAACATACTAACAGAGGTTAGACTGGGTTGGTGGTACTATTGCTGATATATTTTTCTTTTCTATTTGCCACATTGTTTTCAATGTGATTATATATTTTTTAAAAAGAAACATACGTCTTCTATCCATACATGTAGATACTGCTGGAGCTAACTATACTAACATTATTAATACACAGAAAAAAAAATATTAAATTTTTAGCTTATTCTTCAGAATAGCTGCAAGTTTCTTATTTTAAAAAAATAGTGGGAATGTACATCTCCTTTAAACAAAATATTAGGAAAGAGGGTATAATTATTCTTATCAAAAAAAGTTACTGATATATACTAGAAACATGTTACTAATATGTATTAGATACATTATCCATTTACTTTTTCACATTTTCCCTGCTGATTTAATTCATGCTGTTATTACATATAAGTTACAGTATTACTTTTTTTAATGTTAGGAGTTACCATTTTTAACCATTTTTAGACTGCAAATTGTCAAAGGGAATAAAATTAACCAACAGCACTTACTTATTTACAAATAATAATTAAAGCTGTTTATTGCATACATGTAGATAACTGAATGTATAGTCCTCAAATTTGATGGTCAGCTGTTTTCAATAAAGGAATAACTAGTTCTATTCAGCCTCA